CGGAGGTCAAGGAGCGATTCCTGTCGTGCTTGAAGACGAACGCTCGGAGCGAAGCTTTTCTGAAGACCAAGATGGACTGGGATAGGTTGCGAGTGTGGGGTCCGAAGGGCGAGGTGCTCAAGGAAGTCGGTGAGCTTGCGGGACGGGAGTGCAAGGTGAGGTGCGAGCTCCGACAGGTCTGGATGATGACGGGGCAGTGTGGCCTCTTGGTCGAAGTTACCGATCTCATGCTGAAGGAGTCGAGCGGCGAGCGGTGTCCATTTTCGAATCTTGCCTCTGCCTGATTCTGTGCGAAAACCAGGATTGGCCCTAAAACACCATGCCGCACCCCAATTTTTCGGGATTTTGAAGCCGCCCGGCGAGGGTGCGCCCCGACGGCCCCCGACGGCCGGCCGTTTTGCGAGCCGACCACGCGCCGGCGAGAGCCCGATTTCGGTGTGCCCCCCGCCTAGGGTTTGAGCACGTCTTCGGCCGGATCGTCCCTTTCCTGTCGAATCGGTGCCGGCCAGCCTCGGAACGTGCTCGGGGAGGGTTTAGGATGGGTCGAACACAGCCACACGGAATCGCCGAGCATCACGGAACCGCCGCGCCTCCGATTCTCGGGGTGCGCCCTGCCTATGTTTCACACACCCTGCCGGGCCCGCCGGCCAAAAGCGACACAGCCAGCCTCGGGAAGGCCCGCGCATGGCCCAAAAGGCTTTGCCGGGCCGTTTCACACCAAACTGTGGCGAGAGCACGATTTCGGTGGGTACGTCCCCTAGGTTTGGCTCAAGTTTTCGTGGCTGGGTGCGCTCAGTGTCGATTCGCGGCGAGCCTGTGGCCGCCGTCGACCTGATCCGTGGGGGTTTAGGATGCTCACAGATGCTCGCTCGCCTTTGCTCACTGATGTTTTTTTTTTGATTTGTAGTGGTATTCTAGCTAGGCCCGCCGACTTTTGCAGTAACATTTTGCTAGAGTGCTTTCGCCGGGGTTGCTTTTGGTTTGGTTCAGGGCACCCTACCCCTTTCGGCCCCAGCAGTAGGTTTTGATCCCCGCGTCCCTGCGAGTGCTTTGCTGCCCTAACCCCGTAGGTCCCTTTCCCGTCTGCCCTGCGTTGAGCTTCGGCTGCCGCGCACGCTCCTCCAAGGTGGTTCGTCGCACAGCACAGCAGGAGCACAACAGTACAGCAAGACACAGCACGGCAGCACGGCGCAACGGCGCGGCACTGCAGCACACACAGCATCAATGTAGGGGACGGCCTGGGCTGCGGACGTCCACGCAGGGCCCTCGGGCTCTCGGCAGGCTGTCGGCAGCGGCGAGTGATCGGAGTGTGCACTTGCTGCGTTTGAGTTCCTCTTGCGGCAGCCACTTTGACTTCACGTTTCGCCTTAGCAAACTGTAGCACCGGGCGCGGGCCTTGTCGGCGCAGAGATCCAGAAGCTCGCTCTCGTAGTCGAGCAGTTCACAGCACCTTTCCGATGGAGTCATCCGCAGCTGCAGACGGTGCAGATATTTTGAACCTGGACTCGTTGCCCCCTGAGGTTCGCACGCCCATCGCGAACTATCTGATTATCTTGGAGACAACTCTCGTCAGCTGGGGCAAGGAGGAAGGTCCGACTGACGTGGCCAAATGGAAGGAGTCGGGGCGCTTGTTCGTGGAACACATGGGCCGCACAGTGCAGTATATCAGTGTCGACAAAATTACCGAGCACGTCAAGCGTCGTTTGGAGATTCAGCTCACGGAGACTCAGCTGGCTCGCGCGGCGGTCAAGCTCAGTGAGATTTGCCGACATGCAACCTCGGACTCGGCTAGTTCCTAGAGGAACTTCTGGAGTGGTGCCGGATCGTGCCAAAACAGAGAGCTGCGGTCAGTCTTTGCGTCTGGGTTTGTTTAGTCAGTTTAGTCTTCCGGGTTTCCCTTTCCCTCACCCTTTGGGTTCCCTTAGGCTGCCTCTCACTACCCTGCTTTGCTGCGTTTTATGTGCCTTAACCGTCGCCTCCTGCCCGCTCAGGCTTGACCTCGCTGGGTGGCGGGGGGTAGTTGCGGGCGGTCGGGCGGGTAGGTGGGCTTGCGTCGGGACCTCAGTTTGCTTGGGTTGCTTCCGTGTTCGGTTTCCCCCTTCCCTAACCCTTTTGGTTACCCTAGGCTGCCTCTCACTGCCCTGCTTTGCCAGCGCGCCTCTCCCCTGTAAGGCCCTCCCCAACTTCCCGCATCCGCCCAGGTCCTCGTCTTCATCAATCCGCGGAGCTTCTCACTCGGAGTGATTTGCCGGGGCTTTGGTGTTGGAAGGGTTTAGGGTTTGTGGGGTGTCGTGCAAGTTTGCGTGCGCAGGAGTGCCTGTTTCTGCTCCCCCCGCCCCGCCCGTAACTAGAGTGCCCTGCAGCCCGCCTCGTCCCGGGAACCCCGGGCCCTCCTGCGACCAGGTCTTCGCCGTCAGAGCTGTCGTCACGTCCCGAGTTTCTGCGTTAACGCCGCGTAGGAGTGCAGTGCTTACGGTAGGTGCCGTGTAGGAGCGCTGCGGGCGCTGATGCACAGTTTTGGCGAGAGCTACAGTTCTCATACCGACACCGTGCTCGTAGTGACTTCATAGGTTCAAGAGCGAAAGCTAGATAACATTGCGGCCATGCTCCAACATCTCCCCGATAACGTGCTCGTCCACTTGCTGGGCTTCTTGCACTGTTCCAATTGTCCGTACTTGAAGGTCCGTGAACAGTACGTGAACTTTGTGGTCGCTTGTCGCGTGGCACTGCGCATGTCGGAGTATGGGTGCGCAGGGCATGTTTGTTTCCACAGCGCTAGAGAGGTGATTCGCATGCGATGTCTCTGCAAGTACTGGAAAGGCGAACTTGAGGGACACATCAGGGACATTAAAAACCATCTGCTAGCAATCCACGAGACATTCATCGATGAATGCCAGGGGGCGGTGACGCTCAGACAGATGGATGAGTTCACGCGCGAGGAAGATTTAAACGAGGAGACATCCGTCGAGGATTGCAAGTACGCGGTGCAGCGCAGCAGCGAGGATTCGTTCAAGCGCTGTGCAAACGCCTTTCGTGCCTTACGTGATCGAGGCAACCGGAGGTTCTTGAGCCTCTACCAAGAACGACTCTTCTTCGTGGCCTTGGCGTCGCATGAGGAAGTGCAAGACAATTTTAGGTTCCAGCATGTGCTGGAGAGCGAGAGCCAGGAGCTCGATGGAAGAGTGATTGATGTGTAGAAACTCTTGTCGATCTCCGTGCCTCAAAGTACAGGATGCTCGGAGCGACTAGGCGGCTCGCGAGGGCATCGCTTGGACAGTTTTGATGCCCTCCCCCCGTATAGTCGAGATGGCGGCAAAAGACAGAAAATGTGGCTTTGTTGTCAGTCCTTGAACACGTCTCCCTCCCGCATCTTCTTTGTAACTAGAGCGTTTGGTCCCTTCGCCCAGGTCATTATCATCCGCGATCGTCGACTTCTTCAAGGCCTGCTCCTTTTTAGCGCCAAGGCGTAGGAGGAGCGGTAGGATGTGAAGTTGCGTCGTCCTGCTATCGAGCCGGGGTTCGTTATGAAGCGATTTGAAGCTCGAAATTCGTGACCTCGTAGCTGTTGAAAGCCTGCAGCCATGCCGGAGTCAGCCAAGAGCAAGGCCTACAAGATTCGCATGCAGCTCCAGAGCAACAAGACTCGCAGGGGCCATATCCTCGGCGTGAAGAAGCGTGCCGAGCTTGAAAGGCAGCAGGAGCTGATGGAGCATCACACTGCCGAGACCGATCGCAGCATCCAGGCTACCCGTTCGGATGGTCAGGAAACGCGAGATTTGATCGCATCTACGGAGGCCAGATTGCTGGATGCCATCCAGAATCCTCGCAAGAGAGCGGCGAAGAAGAAGGCGACGGGCAATGGCGAGGAGACCGTCGAGGGCCAACCCAAGAACGAAGCCGGAAAGGGCAAGCGCAAACAGACCGAGGAGCAGAAGGCGGAGAAGGAGGCGGAGCGCCAGCGTAAGAAAGACGAGAAGCTGGAGCGTCAGAGGAAGCGCGAGGAGGCCAAGGAGACGCGGGAGGCGAAAAAAGCCGCGGCGAAGGAGAAGGCGGAGGCCAAGAAAGTCGTGCTGAAGGAGATTCGCGAGAAGAAGGCCAAGAAGAAGGCTGAGATGGACATCGTGAATGCCGAGCTGAAGGCCGCGAAGGGCGAAGGCTCGAAGAAGAAAAAGCACGGTGCTGGTACGGAGGGCGAGACGAAGGAGACGGCGCGGCAGCCGGTAGCCTCCTCGAGCGTGATCGGTCGGGTGAGCCAGCTATTCGGAGGTCAACGCGACGAGGCCAGCGGTTGAGCTTCTTAATTTTGTAGGCTCTTGTACATAGCTGTGCGTGCTCGGCTGATGCTTTTTCGGAGTCGTTAGTCGGGTCATTGCTTGATCAGCCTGGCTCTGGATCCCTACGAGTGTTTGAGTCAGCGTTGACTTGTGGCGTGATTCGCCGCGTCATTTTTGAGAGTCGTCTTTCGGGCCGTGCTGGCACAGGCGTAAGACCCGACTTTGCCCTTAGGCTTAAACAACAGTTCTTAGTCAAACTTCTTAGAAAGCGAGTCCTTTGAGCCTAAGACTACAGTACTAGCAAGGCGCCGTACAGCGGGCGCGCTGCTACAGACCGTGATCCTCTCGATCCGCCAAGAGAATGAATCAGACTGCTTGCCTTTCTTTCGGTTTCGCTGTGGAGCTGCTGCTGCTAAGCACCTCGCGAGTTCTCTGCATTCCCTGATGCGCAGGTGTTACGTCGACCTTCTTCGAAGCCATCGTCAGATCCAGGCCTCTGTCGTCGTTGCTGCGCCGCCATTGACTTGTCGAGTGAGTGCTTTAGCTCTGAGCGGCGCGCTTGCTTTCATGTTCGCTTTGCGCCGACCCAAGCTTTCTTCAGGATGACTGTCGAGCGATTTGTGATGACGCAAGCTAGTGGTGTTCTCGATGCTTTCAGCGAACCTTGAGTCGAAGCCGGATGGTCGTGTAATTTTGTCATTCGCATAGGAAACATTCTTAATAATCATGGCGGAAGCCTTCTTGCTGCTCATGAACCGCCAGAGGGCGGTGCCTCTCGACGAGCCGCGAGCTGCTGTGGCTCAACCTGCTGCGGCCAGGGTTCGAAGCTTGAATCCTCAGCGCAACACCTTCTGGTTGCGCCAGATCTCCTTGGACGCTCCGCCTGGACAGTACTTGAGCGTGGAGAGCCTGAGGTTGGCGCAGGAGTCGATGCAAGACCTCCTGACCGTGCAGCTCCCGTTCATGGTGAAGATCGTCATGCACGTGCGCCTTTCGGAGGAGATCGTGGATCCGGAGAGCGGCGAGCGGGAGATTGTCTACAGCGAGCGCCGCATTGCCACGGTGCCCTCGTTGGTCCGGCCGCTCGCAAACCCCGACGAGAGGCTTCGTCGCTACATCGTGTCGATGGCTCAGAGGACTCTCGAAGATCGCCTGGAGCATGCTAGGTTCCACAACTCGCTCCAGAAGTTCGAGGGCATCATCGACATGCAGATCTACACGACTCCGAGCCGGGAGCTCGCTCAGCTTCCTGCGGCTCCTGGCGCAAACTTCGCCGGAGGCTGCTGGAAGGAGTTGCCGGAGCTCTTGAAGCACGGCAAGAAGGGGCTCTGGTCCCCCAAGAACGCCGACAACAAGTGCTTCCGCTACTGCGTGATGGCCGAGCTCCTGGGTTGTCGCGACTGGGGCAATGAGTATCGCAAAAAGGTCTCCGAGTGCAGAGGGCGACCTTTCTACGACCTCCCGAACGGACGCCCTAGCAAGAGGATGCGACTTTCGGATCCTGTCGGTGTTTATGTCAACGAGCAAGCCATCGACTTCAGCATGCTCCCGGAAGAAAGCGCGGTCGCCTTCGAGGACATCGAGAAGTTTGAGCTCGGGAACGCTGGCTTGGTGGAGATCTTTGTGTACCAGTGGTCGCGAGTGCCGTGGGTCAACGACGACTTCCACTTCCTCATGCCGGTGCGTTCCCCCTCGCTGGAAACCCAGGCCGCGCGTTCGATACTACTCCTGCATCACGACAACCACTACGTGCTCATCTACGACTTCAACCAGCTTTCGAGCACTCGCAGTCTCTCGTTTCCGGAGAGTCAGCAGGCAAGCACACACCACTCCTGGAACCGTTGCCATCGTTGCATGGGCAACTTCAATAGCCCAGAAGCGCTCGGGCGACACTTGGCTGGGAGGGTGTGTTCTGAGGATCCCGGCAAGCGCCAGGTGGATAGGATGCTAATGCCGGAGAGAAGCGCCGCCACGCTCCACTACAAGGCCGGCCCTTCAGCTGCCATGCATCCCTGTGTTTGCTACGCCGACTTTGAGACCTTCAACACCAAGGCGCCCCAGCAACTTGCCGGTCAGAGCGTTCTAGCCAAGCAGGATCGAGTCGCATCCTTTGCGTACATGGCGGTCGGGCGTTGCGGCTTCCAGGTCCCCTCGTTACATCGACTTCGGCTGGAGCGGGCGACCGAGGAGTCTGGCGAGTTCGGCATCGTGGAGCTCTTCCTCCGCAGTCTTCTCGAGCTGGCCAAACGCTACCGAGAGTGGCGTCTGCGCACAAACAAGCCCTGCCGTATGACTCAGGCCGACCAACGTCGCTTCAACCACGCCGAGACCTGCGAGATCTGCGGCGGGGGCTTCGAGCAAGGGAATCCTAAAGTGGCGCATCATGAACATGGGACGGGCAAGTTCCTGAGTGCGGCTTGCAACAAGTGCAACTTGCTCATCCGCCTGCCGACGAGCCTGCCCTGCTACTTCCACAACGGCGCCTCCTACGACTTCCACTACCTGCTCCGCTTCCTGGCTCATGAGAAGGGTTATGGGCGTCATGAGGACTACATCGCCGCGCTCCTCGCCGAGACCGCGGAGTCCGACGGCGACGATGACGGCGAGGGCGAGGGGGACGACGTCGGGTTTGATCCGTGGCGCTGCGATCTTTCCAAGATGAGGCTGGGCGCTCTGGTGAAAAGCGGGGAGAAGTGCTTGATGCTGTCTTTCGGGCCTCTGCGCTTCCTCGACTCCTTGAACGTTTTCCCGACCAGCCTGAGCTCCTTGATCGAAGACTGCAAGGCGAGCTGCTCGAATCCCAGCGAAGCCTTTCCCCTGCTGGCGCGGCGCCATCCCATCTTCGCGGAGGCGGAGCGGGGCGCGTCCGAGCGTCGGACCAAGGTTTGGGAGTTGCTGCTCAAGAAGATCCCGATGCCGTTTGACGCTCTTTGTGATCCGGCTTGCTGGTCGTGGCCGGCTTTGCTTCCTCGCGAGGCCTACGACAACACGCTCACCGGCGAGGCGTGCTCCGAGGAGAAATACGAGACCGTCAAGCAGATCGTCGAGTTCTTCGACTTCGAGAGCTTCGGCGCATTTCATGACACGTATTTGCGCACAGACCTCGCACTGGGAGATGTGATGGAGCGGTATCGAGACACGTTTTGGGACAACTTCCACCTCGACCCCTGTCAGTACATCACGCACGCATCGGCGAGTCATGACGCCATGCTACGCAAGTGCTGTCCTCGTCGGGATCTCGGTCTCGGGCTCATGACCGATCGGAGGGTGCACGAGCTGACCAAGGCGAACATCAGAGGAGGCCTCGGGCACATCGCTCAGCCGTTTGCGGCGGCCAACAACCCCATGTTGCCCGACTTCGATCCCGCTCGAGAGCAGTCGTGGATTCTGTTCTACGACGTGAACAGCATGTACCCTTCCATCATGGAGAAGCCGATGCCTACCGACGGCGGTCAGTGGGTCGAGATGCCCGCGTCCAAGAAGGAGAGGCTGTGCTACCTCAACGCGCTCTTCGAGCGGGTGGACTACGAACGGGACGATGAGGAGGTTTGCTTCATGATCGAGGCGAGCTTCGATGTGCCGTGGTTTCGCCACTCTTGCGTGGATTGGGCTCCTGTTTGCAAGATGTCGGTGACGAGGTTGCAACTCAGCCCTTACACCCAGTCCCTCATCCAGGACGGTCAAGTTGTTTCGGCGACCTAAGCTTGTACCTTACTTGGGGTTGCATCTGAAAGAAGCCGTCGACCTTCGGTACCTCAAGTTCATCGTGGAGCACCTCGGCGTTCGGGTCTATGACGCTCACAGCTGCGTGTCCTTCCGCTGCCATACCTGGATGAAGAGCTTCGTTCGCCAAACCGTGGAGACTCGCCGCGAGTGCAAGAAGAGCGGTCGCAAACTCCAAGTGGGAGTTCAGAAGCTTACGGGCAACGTCCAGTACGGCAAGATGGTGCAGAACCAGGAGAACTTCAGGGCCACTCGCGTCTACACGGACGGCTTGAAGTTCCAAGGCGGCATCCAAGCCCAACATACTGGACATCCATCCGCAAATCATGGAGGAGCGCGCGTTCTTGGCCTTCGTCGACGTTCAGAAGGCTGGCAAGGCGAATGTCTTGAGATCCTTTCTCCAAGGCGGCTGGAAGGTGCTGGAGGAGTTGCGCTTGCTGATCATGAAGGCGCACTACCGGATCCGCCTCGTCTTCGACGGCGATCTTCTCAAGAGCGTCGACCCGGCGGACGACCCGAGCGACTTGAAGCCCGAGCAGAGCCGCGTGAGATGGCTGGGAGGCGACATTGACAGCAGCGTCCTGCAGATCTTCAGCGACCAAGACCCGAAGATCGCCCTGGCGAAGGCTAACTTGCGAGGCGCCGCTCCTTTCTTCGATTGGCTGGCGATGCGAAGGACGCCGCCCTGCTGGAGCACCTGGCTCCGTTGTGCGAGGAAAGCCGAGAGCTCCCACTTCGCCGCGCTGGCGAGCTCGGCAACTTCTCGGACGAGTTGGCTCCTCACTACGGCGTTGAGTGGGTCGGCTTGGCGCCGAAGATGTACTCGCTTAGCAAGACAGAGGGTGAGAGCAAGGAGCGGGCCAAGGGCGTTCCGAAGAGCGAGCGCAAGAAGCTGGACCACGAGCTCTACCGGGCCCTCTTGGAGAGCGGAGGCGAGCACAAGGTGGATTCCGCCGCCTGGGCTGCCGTCATCATGTGAACGAGGTCGTGGAGTCCACAAGCGCGGCCTCACGGCGTTGAACACGAAGGCATGGCAGCTCGATGCGCATCGCTCCAGGCCGTCGGGCACTTCAAGAACGACGAGGTCTGGGCCGCGTGCTGGGCGGCGCTGCAGAGAGGGGCGCGTGGCTTCGAGGAGCGGTCCGATGTGGCGGCCTTCCACCTGATGAACCACATCCTCGGCTTCGCGGAGGGCGAGGTCGGCTTCGTGCTGAAGAGTTTTTTAGTTGTACAATACAGGAGTTTCCGAGCAGTCGTCGGAGAACTCACCGCGCAGCACAGAGTTCGAGCGGGTGAGGCTTTTTTGCGAGCTCTTCCTCTAGGACAGATGTAATAGACTTCCGTAACTCTGTAAGTGCCCGTACTCTCGATAGGTTTAACCCTAACCCGAATTAAATCTTCCACCGCTATTTGAGGCCTCGCTCCGGCATTCATCCTGACGTTGCGCTTCATCCTGGTCAAGGCCTTGTCTGCGGTTTCATGATCGTCATACACTTTGTCTGGAGCGAAGCTGTGAAAAACAGAGCGCGCAGCACTCGGTCTTTTTCTTGAGCCAAAGCGGAGTCGCGTCGGGCTCTGACTGACAGTGAAACACCTTGCAGCTGTCTGTCTCCAAGCAAAACACTTCAAGCACTAACGAAACGAGACGAAACGAACGTGCAGTCACTTCCTAACTCAAAAGCACTCCTCACAGCTTCAGGCATGCCGAAAACATCAGGACATCCAAGGTCAAATGGAATTTTCACACCCCCTCTTGGACTGATGCGGCACCTAGTGTCTTTTGAGCACACTTTACAAGCTCTAGACCTAGCTTTTCAGGATAGAACCCTGAATCTTTTAATTCCACCTGTACATGTTCATGCACTTGGTCACATTCCCGTTTAGGAAACACTTTGACCCAGCGTTTACTGTTCGTGGCAAAGTACCACCGTTTAAACACACAGTCGTACGCACAGCGGTCTACCACAATACCCTCAGACAGCCCCAATTCTGAAGCAACCTGAAGATACCGCGGGTCCTTCCAGAGGTCGTTCTGCAGAGGCCACTCTTGAGTCAACAACAAGCGTTCACTCCGAGCAACCGGTTTCAACAAACCTTCAAGAAGTTCCCAAGCACGCTGATGCAACTTCTTCTTCTCTTCCCACTTCTCTTGACTGTACTTGCGCCACCCGCGGTAACGCAAACGACACCCAGTGGTACAGGGAGTGGAGATATGGCAGTAGATCTTCGTCTTCAAGCCACAACTCAACACAGAAAACAACTCCTTCAGAAAACACTGCGTCTGCTCAGAACAAAAGTCAAGCTTTTCAGTGACGCCCACATAGGCAATCTCAAGCTTCTCACATGCCTTCTGTAAGGCACTTTCTTCCTGGCAGAACAGTTCAACGACCACAAAGGTGACCTGGTTCTTCGCCACCGCTTCACACAGTGAAACGTACTCCTCAGGAACAAAAGAACGGTTTACCGGTTCTTCTGCAGTCAGGCGTTCCAGCTCAAACTCACCCAACTCGTCTTCAAAAGAAACCAAACCGGTTACCTCGTAGAGGTTGTCCAGCTGCTCCTGAAAGACCATACTCTTGGTCAGGCCGTCGGAGGCATTATATGCTCCGGCCACAAACTCGAGGATCACTCTCCCCGACTGAACCATCTGCTGCAGGAAAGCACACCGCAACTCCAGGTGACGAACCCTTCTCAAGAGTCCCTCCATTGAAGCAATCGCCTTTGCCGACTCAGAATCGGTACAAATCCGGATCCAAAAGCTTCCGGTATCATCCTCAGGCAATCCCTCCAAAAACGACTGTTGAAGCAACCCTGCAAACAAAGCCTCTTTCACAGTCTCTACCAAAGCACTCAATTCAGCCTCGGCACTGCTCAGGGCCACAACCGTCTGTTTACGGCTAAAACTCTTCAGCAGGTTGCACTGCCAGCAGATAATCGCCCCACTCACAGAGGGCAAATTCCAGCTAGCATCACAGAAACAATCGATCACACGCGTACTTTCCGAAGGGCGATAGTTCACCCACTGTGCCGGGATCCGCTGAACCCGATTCCCAAGCGTGAGAATCCAACGCAGCACAGCTCGAATACACGCTTCACTCCTGGAGTCTGGGTTGCTCTGGCTCCGGGCCAGAAAACCTACAACAAACTGCAAATCAGCTCTTGTCAAAGCTAGCCACGACAGTTTGCCCAACACGCGCCGGTAGCGCTGATAGGCCTCATGCGTGATCGGGGTGGATTCCAGACTGGTCCACAAACGCTCAAGCTTGGGGAGTTTCGCTCCCTTCGTGATTTGATACTCTTCCGCACAGCTATGGAGCATCCCGGGTTTGAGTCCGAAGTACAAGTCTCCGGTCTTCCTCTGATAAATGTTTCTCCCAAGGAAGGAGATCACCGATTTCTCTCCCGGTTGAAGCGTTCCCGTGCGCTTCATCTTGAACACTTTACTCAGTTCCTCAAACACTTTCTCAGCTACACTCGCAACCGTGCTGAAAACCAAGATGTCATCTACATAGGCCAACACCAACACAATGGCATCCTTGCCTTTCTCCTTGATCACCTTGCGATACACAGTGCTGTCAGCAGTAACAAAGAAACCAAGTTTTCTCAGTGTTTCTCCTAGCTCACGAAACCAAGCCAAAGGCCCAATCCGCAAACCATTCATGGCACGCTTCAGCAGACAATGCACACGTTCACCTGACACTGTCCTACAGTTCTCCGGCAGCTTCACCACCTCAGTAGAAAACAGCTTAGCCTGCATGAAGGCCACAGAAATATCTCCCGAAATCACCTTCCCTCCGAAATGCGCATACATCCCCAACAGACACCTCACAGACTCTAAGGTAGTAGTAGGAGAATAGATGCCATCAGCTAAAGCAGAGGTGGGCCCTTTAAAGTCACGCACAACCAAACGGCAGCGCACACGCTTGTGCCCGTCCTTGTAGTGCAACACCCACCTGGTGGAAAGCACTCTCCTCTTAGCTTCCCGCACAAGGCGAAACGCCTCCTTCTCAGACACAACCTGGCACACACCAAAGTGGTCCAGTTCCTCCATTTCAAGACGCATCCCTTCCCCAAGTTTCTTCTCCTCAAGAACCTCCCCAGTATACTCATCAGCAGCCCCAGAAGGAACCTCAACCTTCACCTTGGACCCTCCAAACTTCAAAGTAAACTCCAACTTGGCCGCCCTAGACCCTTTAGCGTCCTTTGCCGCGAACACAACCTCAGGTCTAGAACACATGGAGTACAAAGCATGGTCCTCCAGCCAGCTGATCGCCACCTCCATGGGATCATCATCGTCGGCCGGCTGCATGTCCACATCGTACAAAGGTGGGGCCTCGTTCTCTCCTGCAGGGGGACCTTCAGGGAGTACCTCTTCCTCCTCAACTGGAGAAGGATCATAGTCCATAAGCTCATCCTCCAAGAGCTCAGCTGGAGCCTCCGGCTCCGCACTCCCCCTCTCAACTAGATTACCCTTAGGCTCTCCAGGCTGAAAGGCTTCGGGGGGCTTCAGGTCTAAGGAAACAGGACGCTCTAAAACGTTGTCTTGCCTAGAAGGGGCACCCGAATCAGCGGCTTGTACCACCAACTCCTCAGGATACAGGTAAGGCTGGTCCGGCCGAAAGGCCGACATCACTTCGACCTCATCAGGCCGATCAAGAGGGAGCACACGCACTCCTCCACCATTGGGCTTAGCAGGCCCTAGGTACATACACGGGATGAGGCGGCGGCCTCGATTCTCAGGCTTCTGCTTCGCAGGTTTGGCAAAACCCTTGCACCCAAAAGGAAACGTCTTCGTTACTGGAAGATGTTGGCGTCTCAGCCTTTCAATTGGCGTGGTTTGCGACTTCGAGGTCGCATGCAGGTTCCTTGTCCTGGCAACATATCTCAAAGCTTCCTTGTACAACAAACCACCCAGCCGGAGCTTCTTCTCCAGCGTAGTTTCTAGCGTCAACCAATTCACCCAGAAGGCTTCCTTCAAGTGTCGCACACCTACCTCCACAAGCCCTTTCGACTGCGGCCGTCCTTTCGGCACCGCGTCTATGTGCAACGAGAGGCCTGGGTATGAGCGGTCTTTTCCCACCTTGTTCCAAAGCGAGATCAGAGACGCTTCATTATCCATCCTCAGCACAACATGCTGACCTTGAATACCTGCGGCGGCCAGCTCGGCGTTTATACACCGTGCAACATGCCCTGGATCACCTCCTGTGGGGTAGGGCACAGCGAAACAATATCCGCTAAGCTCGTGCACCACAATGCACACTCTCAGGTCTTTCGTAAAGAACAAGAAGTCGCTTAAGAAGCTTGCTTGCGGAATTGAAGGATCTTTGCGCCTTCGCGCTGGAATCACTCCTCGACTGGACACACACAAAGAACACGAAGGCAGATAGGGCTGATGGCCCCGAGCAACGTGCTCCTGATACTCTTTATCCTCCAGTGGAACATGAAGTTCCCCTTCTTCAGAAATATCCCCAGCATCTTCAGCAGCAGGCTCGGCTTCAACAACCGGTGCTGGAGCTGAGGCTTGGGCGGGTTCCGCCTGCCTTGGTGGATCACCATCCGGAATCAACTCTTCATCGGAAATCGTCACTTCCACCGGAAGTCCACGCATCATGCACAAACGGTGTGGCGGCTCAGACACTTTCTCATCACAGCCACCTTTCACCTTCAAAGGCTCCGACCTTAGGTCATCCCAGCCACAAGCACAACACAACCACAAGCCACGCACACGCTCCAAGCCACAACAGCACAAGGACCGCAGACGCCGCACACCAACCAGCACAAAACACTCCACGGCTTCAGAGGCTCTCGGTGCTTTGCTGGCTCTCGGTGCTTCGGGGGCTTCGGTGCTTTGCTGGCTCTCGGTGCTTTGCTGGCTCTCGGTGCTTTGCTGGCTTTCGGTGCTTCGGGGACTTTCGGTGCTTTGCTGACTCTCGGTGCCTCGGTGACTTTGGA